TCTGGGTGTATACCCAAAGGACTTTACTACAGAAATACTTGCTCATTCATGTTGAGACCTAGTCTAGTTACAATAGCCAGGGAATGGAAACAACCTAGATGTCCATCAACTGAAGAGTAGATAGTGAAGATGTGGTATTTTCATACAGTAGATTATTATTCAACTGTTAAGAAGAATGAAATCCTTTCCAGGTCCCACCATTTACCTGCAAATTTCATGATTTCCTTATTTTTCATTGCTGAGTAATACTCCATTGTATAGATGTACCACAGTTTCTGCATCCATTCTTCAGTTGACGGGCATCTGGGCTGTTTCCAGCGTCTGGCTATTGCAAATAAAGCTGCTACAAACATGGTTGAGCAAATGTCCTTTTTGTGTACTTGAGCCTCTTTTGGATGTATACCTAGGAGTGGTATGGCTGGATCTTGAGGAAGCGCTATTCCTAGTTGTCTGAGAAAGCTCCAGATTGATTTCCAGAGTGGTTGTACAAGTTTACATTCCCATCAGCAGTGGAGAAGGGTTCCCCTTTCTCCACAACCTCTCCAGCATGTGTTGTCACTTGAGTTTTTGATCTTGGCCATTCTGATGGGTGTAAGGTGAAATCTCAGGGTTGTTTTGATTTGCATTTCCCTAATGGCTAATGAGGTTGAGCATTTCTTTAAGTGCTTCTCTGCCATTCGATATTCCTCTACAGAGAATTCTCTCTTTAGCTCTGTTCCCCATTTTTTAAGTGGATTACTTGGTTTGCTGCTTTTCAGCTTCTTTAGTTCTTTATATATACTGGATATGAGTCCTCTGTCAGATAAAGGGTTGGTGATGATTCTTTCCCAATCTGTAGGCAGTCGCTTTGTTTTGATGACGGTGTCCTTTGCTTTACAGAAGCTTTTCAGTTTCATGAGGTCCCATTTATTGATTGTTGCTCTTAGAGCTTGTGCTGTTGGTGTTCTGTCCCAGAAGCAAAAAGACACACACGGTATATACTCACTCATATAAACATACAACACAGAATAAACCCAAAAAATCTGTACATCTAAACAAACTAAGCAAAAGAGAGGACCCTAACTAAAAAGTTCAATCCCCACCATGAAAGGCAAAGAGGATGGACATCAGAAGAAAAAGAAAACAGGAAACAACCTAGGAACCTGCCACAGAGGGCCTCTGAAAGCCAGAAGAAGAAAACAGGAAACAACCTCAGAACCTGTCACAGAGGGCCTCTGAAAGCCTCTGCAGTGCACACTGTCAAAGCAGATGCTGAGCCTGATGGCCAACCGATGGGCAGAGTGAATGAAATTTTATGTAAGAAGTGGGAAATAGTAAGAGCTGGAGAGAACAGAAACTCCACAAGGAGAGCAACAGAAAAAGATAATTTGAACACAGGGAACTTCCCAGAGACTCATACTCCAACCAAGGACTATTCATGGAGATAACCTAGAACCTTGACAATGCAGCCACTTCTGATGAGAACTGATAGACTAAGATCAGAAAGAAGGAGAGGAGGACCTCCCCTATCAGTAGACTTGGGGAGGGGCATGCATGCAGAAAGGGGGGAAGGGTGGGGCTGGGAGGGGCGGAGGGAGGGGCTTATGGGAGGGATACAAAATGAATAAAGTGTAATTAATGAAAGTTAAATAAAAATAAAAAAGCATGAAATCTGTAGGCAAATGGGTATAACTGGAAACAACCATCATGAATATGGTAGCCTTGACCAAGAAAGACAAGCATCAAATGTTTTCTCTCATGTGGTTGTTAGCTTTTAGACTTTAGATAAGTCATTTTCATTTGTAACACCTGCAGAGGTTAGAAACTAGTAAGGGGCCATGGGGGAGGAGGGAATATTTCAAGGAAGGAGATAGAGAGTACAGATATAAAGTGGGGGAGGTGATGGTAGGGTGTGGTAGAGGAGGAGGTATGGAAAGGAATAAGTAATACTAAAGGCCTGTTGAAAAAGCCATATGGAAATCTATTGTATACTATGGAGTTACCTTATAAAGTGGGGACAATATACTAGCTACATACTATACACTACCAAATAAAGTCTCCTACCCCAAAGCAGGTTGCTGTTTTTCTGAGTTTTTGGCCAATGGACTCCTCTAAGGCCTCCAAACATTACAGGCTACTGCCGATGCTCTTGGTTACCCATCAGAACTTGGCAACAAGACACTGTTCCTGAAGACAGCACATGCTTGAGTCATAGAACATGGAGAAATCTAGCTGGTACTCACCTAGAAGCTTCACTCACACAGGTTAGTTCTCACAGTGCCGAAAGGTGCTAGTGTGTGCCGCTGGAGAAAAGAAACCCACAATCTCACCCAACCGGAAAGCTTCTAAACTACAATGACAACCTGCCTGGTGAGATATGCCCACTGGTGCAACAGAGGCACAGATGTTATGAGAGTATCCCACCACCTTCCCACTGGATTCAAGGCCCGTTCAGAGAGATGGGACCCATATCTGATACTGCCAATTGAAAAAAGAACCTGTGGCTGGATAGAGCATTGGCCCTACCTAGAGGGAAACTTACTACTGTTATTCTGCCGGAAGACATAGCATTAAAATGTCTCTTAATGACTTACTGCTGTAGATAACCAGCGTGTTCCTCAACCCTCATCAGAGAAGCTTCTTCTTGCAGTAGATGGCAATTAACATAGAAACCCACAACTGGTCCAGATGCAGAGAATAAAAGACTCCAGACTGCTCAGCTCTACTGAAACATCTATATCACAGCCCTCCTCCCAAGGCTCAGAGATCATTGTGGGTGAGGTGGTGAAAATATTGTAACAGACAAATGTAGCGGATGGCTTTGGAAAACAGTATTTGCCAGACACAGCAGAACAGGTCCATATATGAACTCACGGCAATTGTGACAGCTTGTATGAGACCTGAGCAAGTTTGTCCTAGATAAAACCCCAGCATGGGAGAGGGGAAGTGGGTATGAGGTCCCACTCCTAGCTAAGAAACTCTTGGCATTTGAACACTGATGAGAGAGGAAAAGTCAGTTTTCTTTAATGGTGTGACACCTGGTCAACCATACTCCAGGACAGGCCCCACACCCAGGAGTAGTTGACCAACACAAACTGAGCAATTATATATATATATATATATATATATATATATATATATATATATATATATATATATATGGGGGGGATGAGGTTGTGTGGATAGGAAGATGGGGGAGGACTGGGAGGATGAATATAAGCCAAGTACATAGTATGAATTTTTGAAAAAAATTAAAGACTTAGAAAAATAATTAGATAAAATTTGGAATTAGAAGCTAAGGATTATCTTTTGATTGATCAGACAGTCATTAATCAGTTCTAGTTATTGTCTAAGAACAGGTGGCCAGCTGATCAACTCTACCAAGGAAAGGAAATTGACTTAAATAAAATAGGTATAATTTAATAACACCAAATTCAATTGAACAATATAATGGAAATTGAAAGAATTTTATCTAAACATTTTCTTTTGAAAGAATACTTCTGGTGTATTGCTACAATAGATGATTTTTTTTTTTTTGGCTGTTTCACATTCCTTTCCTCCTTTATTCATCTTTTCCAGAGAGTAGAATGAAAAAGGAGATCATGCAGATCCAAAGGGAATAAAGTCCACTGGTCAGAGATGAGCAGATTTAACCTGGCAAACCTTTGTGTTTCTTCTATATCAAACTTAATATGCACGCTACTTGTTTTAATAGTCCAACTTTCAACACATTCTTAAAGTTCAGCTCCTTATGTCTTTGAACACAAATTTTTTTATGTAATTGACTAAAATTAAAATAATCGATGTTAAAAAATACTTATCTAAATGGAATAATACAAAATTATTTGAACATCAAAGTTGTCTAAATATAATGAAACAATAAAGATGAACTATTAATTGCTTAACTCTAACAAAACATAATTATTTGTCTAAATATAATAAGGTAGTTTGCACTTTTATCTGAAAGAAGTAGCAAGTAGGTACTTTTAGAGTCTATCTTTTAGGGCTAGTGACAACCAATTCTATCACTTATGAGTAAGGTTCACTAAGAGGTCATATTACCTATCTGAGGAAGTGTCTTTCATAAAGTCGAGATCATTTATAGTATCTGCCACACAGGATAAACTACTAAAACACATGATTACTTTTATGAAGCAATGTACACAGACTGATAATCAATACTTCATGAACAAATGTAATTTTTATCCTTTTGCTTTCTATTTTGATAGTTTTTATTCTTTTCTCTGTATTTCACACTTACAAATTCTGTGGAAAAATACCAGTCATTCTGCTCTTCTAAAGAGACTATTTTTCTCTGGACTCTAAAAGATTCAGCTGTTTTTCAAGTCAGTGAAAAACCCATTCAAAATTCCTTTTGAATTTTAAATTGCGTAGCAACCAGAGTGAAATTTTGGCATTTCTGAAGGTGTCAGCTGAGCATGAATTCATAGGCATTTCCAGGAATGGAAGAAACGTTAACAGTGAACAGAGGGTTGTTTCTTCATTTTCTACATAATCTTGAAAAGAAATCACGTAAGATCCTCCCATTTGAAAAACACTTATGAGATTAGGGAATAATGCTTTATAATTGACACAGTTCATTGCTGTACTTTCAGGGTTGACAGAAAAATGTCTATGATCATACAAATTAGAAATTGGGTCATTGCCGCTAAAGAGGAGACATATCCAGATGTGCTATGTTTCCATGGCACCAGACAGGAAGTGCCTAACCCTCATCTTCAGCAATAACATTTGTAGATCATCTCCCATAGCTCTCACCATGCAAATAAAATTCTGAATGACCCTGCACATCTTCCTGTATACTTTGATTCTAGAGTCGATATAAAATTTTCTGGAATAAGTCATTGAGAAAAGGAAAACATTTGTCAGTTACTTTTCCATCTGAACCTCACAATGAAAAGGCCAGATTATTTAAAACAGGAAATTAAATTTGAAAACAAAGCTATGAATGAATACAAGTTACTTACAAGTTTTTTTAAAATAAGGATTTAATTGTTCAATTCAAATTAAATGGCATAAAATGAAGTTTACTTAACTGCTATTAAATGGTTATAGTAATGAGGAACTGAAATAGCTTTGCCAGTGAGTGGAGTAACAGCAGCTTTTCTATGTAGAGCATTCTGTGGCGTGTCCAGCTTCCTTTTCACAGGTCATCTGATTCTGGTACAGTGGCATCTTCTGCAGGTTCAGTTGTTATCACCACAGGAATATTCTCAGACACCCATCCCTTTGGAGTCCTGTTGAAGGACCGTCTGCCTGAGAGAGGATTGGCAAAGGCCAAGAACCGAGGATCTGTTAGCAGTAGTAGTTCAAAGTCAGGAACTTTGAATTTCACCATTTTGGATGCTTTTTCAAAACCTCCAAATGGAGTGGCAACTCTGTGCAAATCAAAAGAAAGGAAAGTCATAATTAATGTTCAATTTTGCTTGTCATAAAAAGCAAACACTCTCATAATTTTATGGACCTGTTATTACTGTCTTCAACTGATGCTTTTCAGTTTGGGGCCCCTGAATCAAGCATTTTTCCCTGAAGGTTCATGCATTGATGGTAAAACAGATAAATGACAAATTGCTACAAAGCCACTTTGTATGTACACTTATTTGACAAATCTGATCCCTGATTCATTACAAGCAATTCTTGCTTCTGTGCTCTTGCTGACTTATTATATTAAAAGTCTGTGACATTTCAGTTCTATCTTCCCACCAACTATCCCAGCCCATATCCTTCATCTGGTATGGGTTGTTTCTATTTAACCATTTGGTTCTTGGGATATGGCAATCTGTATTGTTCGTGTCTGTTTTTAAGGTTATCATTTATTTATGATCATCTATGCATTCCAAACTCTTTGAAGTTAAAAAAAAGTGTCTTGTGCATATTTCTATCTTTGCCTTAAAAATTTCAAAATTTGCAAAAAAGGACCATGCATTTGAAGGATAGTAGGGAGAGGTATATGGGAGAGCTTGAAAAGAGGAAAGGAAAGGGAGAAATGTAAACAAAACATAATCCCAAAATAAACAAAAAGTTTCAAAATTTCACCACTTATCTCTGGATAGAAATCTAACCTCTGCTTTTGCCTACAGGATTCCACATAAATGTCTAGCTTGTTTAGTCTTAGGCCTTATTTTCTCATGTAGTGTCAGGCAGAGTTCTAAATGAACAATGTACATAATATACTTTCAGATCGCATGTAGTAAAGGAGGCATAACAAATAAAAACAAACACAAGGAAACATCTAACAGTGATGAGTTGTACAGCAAATTTAAATAGGATGACATTGTGAATAACTGAGTGTTTAGTTACTTTAGCTTGAATCATCATGAATACTTCTCTGGGAAATCATGACATTTAAACTACCTTCTGAAGGCAAGAGGTTAGCCATGAGAATTTGGCAAATGCACATGTCCAGCATGTTCATTAGAGCATGTCCACTAGAGAGACTAATCAAAGGCAGATAAAATTTTGGAAAGTTCAGGGAAAGAAGGAAGACCTATCTTTCTAGACTAGCAGATGGAGGCAAGAGAGGGTACAGGCAGGTTGTTTAAAGATGGAAAGATGGTGGTTAAAAATGTTTACTCTTCCTTAGAAGACCAGTTTTGGTTCCCAGCACCCATGTCCTGTAGCACACAACACTAGTAACATCAGCTCCACGAGATAGGATGCCCTCTTCTGCACATGTACACCACACACACACACACACACACACACACACACACACACACACACACAC